CCTTCTGACCTAATTCCTTCGTTAGGTGAGATACCCTTTATTATTACGTTTTGAATTTTTTTTAAAGTTTTTCTCTCAATTAGTAGGGATTATTTTTTTAGTTAAGGAGTAGGTAAAAGCTTGATAATAAAATATTTGTTCAATTAGTTTCAAAAACACACACATATATATATATTATGATATATAATCACCTGTGTACTTTAAAAACAGCCATACGAACAATTACTCGCTTAGAGAACTTCCTCATTAAATTTTACTACAAGATCGCCAAAAACAATAGAGCTACTTCCTTTTTTTTTTTAAGAGGCGGGAAAAAAGTAAATTAAAAGCGGTTTATATTGTTAATTTTTTAAAAAGTTGACTTCACACTTTAGGCATAAAAGGTATGTTAAATACTTTTAAGTAAAACTGATTGAGCTTGCCAAGAAATGTTGATAAATTAAGCCTTTATATTATTATAAAGACAGAGCCCAGAAATTTGGTTAGAGTTTATTACCCATGCATTTAAAAAGAAGACACCTTTGTTTAGTTTTAAAAATTAATTTTCATTAATGCAGCTACCACGACCAGATTAGAAGGATTAAGGACGATTAAAGGCTGGTTCACAAACTATTTTTGTTAACTATGGTCACTCGTTAGTAGTATTGTAAAGTTTAAATAAAGAGGGAGGAGACATTTTTTTATCTGACCCTAATTCATAAAGAGGGCGATTTGAAAGAACATAGTTTTCCCTTTCTGTTTCTAACATAACTCCTCTAGGCGCTTGTTGAATTTCAAGATAAATTTTTTTTAAGTAATAGGAGTTGTTAAAAAAGGATAGACGGGGGATTTTATTTTTCAAAATTTTAAAAGATGCAATAACGTTATTGCTAATTGTTATAACGATAAAAACCGCATCTTTTTTGTAAGGCTAAATACTGTTAATACCAAGACAGCCATGCGTCTGACTTACATACCCTGCAGATGCTGAAGCATACTTAAAATTCTAACTTTTACTGTTTGTGCGTTTGTAATAACAACACTGTATACCTTCACCATTTTCTGTTTAAAGTGATTCTCTTCTGGCCATTTTATATATATTTTTTACATAAAAGAGTTTCTTGGGAAAGAAAAAAATTTTAGGGTTTAGCAGTATATATAAAAATAAAACCTTGATATCTTAAAATTATTTTTCACTAATTTTTCGTTTTATAAGTTGTTAAGTACATATCAAACTGTAACATTATATAGCACCACTACTATTTCGTATACATGTTTCTTAAAATAAAGTTATTAGTATTAACTTTAGTGAAAGAATACTTAATTTTTTTACCAATTAAGCACAAACCCTTGTTTACTTTTTAGAATGGTATGCCTAACAAAAGTGAGCTAAACCTTTTACTACGGAACTGTTACCTTTTATTAGACTTGCAAAGCATCAGTCGCTTGACCTTAATGAAAAAGGCCTTGGGGTCTACCAAATAAGTTTTGCGTAATCATGATTTCTCATGTTAATCTTAATTTAGTTGATACAATAGCTAGCTATATTAAAGCTGCCAACAGGATTATCATTGGTAACCTAACACCCTGAGGATAATTTGCGGTACCTCCCAATATAGGCAAGATGGATACTACCAAAAGGTAGTGCTATCACGGTGGTGTCTCCAATATAACTAGTAGTTATTTTTAATGTGCCTAAGCAAATTGTACTCAGTACTCATTTATATAGAAAACAACTTTATACTATATTACATAACTATTGAACCTGAGGATCCTACATTAATGGAATAATCCTAGTGCACGTTATTAAGCGGTGTAAAAATTGTTTACTCGTTCACTTGCTACAACTTAACGCGTAATGAAGTCGGCATAGACCGGTTGTTAGCTATTAAACTAATGGTATACCAACTGGGCACCAAGGACTTCCAGCAGTACATAGTCGGGTAAATCGTAATTTAATTCCCTCTTTTGTCTAGCATATTCTTAGAGTAGTTTTTATTCAAGTTCTTGTACAACATAGGGGCTAACAAGGATTACGTGGTTAAGGAACTTGATGAAGACACTTGCGGTTGTAAGAAAATTTCTGCATCAGTATCGGTTAAAAAGCCACCACCTTCATCACTATTAATAATAAAAAAACACAATGAAACAAAACACAAAATTTCCTAACTATAAAAGAAGGATTCTAAAGTAGCCATGTATAGCTAAAAGTCTTTACCTTTAAAAAACAGCTTTCATGTTTAACTAAGAGAAAAACCAAATAACAAAAAAAAATTTCACCTACATCCTGTGGATACAAATACATTAAACAAAAAGTCTTTGAGAAAAACAAATTATTTGCACAATAATTTAAACTATTTTATCATATTGTAAAGGTCCTAATACTGATCATAAATCAGCCAAAAAATCGTTCTTGTAACCTAAGTAATAAATATCTTTTTGTGCATATATTTATTTAAAATATATATACACCTTCGCTAATACATAACTTTTATTAAGGTATAATATTATATTTTACTTCACATATATATCTTATGCACATGACACTTTACAATACACATATTTGGTACAATATATACCTTTACAAGTAACGTTATAACAATCAGCCCTTTAGATATAACAGTTTTATAATTTTTTTGATGGAAAATGTATTTCATTTGTTAAATGTTAGTATCTTAAGTATCTGCTGAATGCAAATTATGCCCCTAATTAGGTGCGACGCGCAGTTTGACCCGAAGAGAAGTAAACAGTATAGAATGCCAGTTGGTTATAAATGACGAGTGCTGTTGTCTTAAATTAAAATCTTGCCTTCACTGTCTTGTCTGTATAGCCCTTTCGTTTAGTTTATCGCTTTTTTTTTTGTTTTTAGACTTTTTATTCAACTTCTTTAACTAAGTTATTAGCACCAGGTTATTTCATTAATTTATATCTTATCTTCTCTGACTTTTATATTTACTTACTTACACTTGAATTAAAAACCTTTTTAACATTTTAAAATCTTGCTAAATTTCTGCTTACATTTAAGTTACAATGAAAGGCGATTATATCAGACTTTAGCAACCATAACATAAGGTTAAACATTTAAACTCTATCATAATAAAAATTAACATCTAAAAATTTTCTTTCCCAAAGTCGATATATTAAAAAAAAGGAAGTGTCTCTGGCTAGGAGAATTATCAGAATATCGAAGAATTTTTTAAACATTCCAAAAAGTCATTATTGACACTAAATACCCTGAAGAAGCCATGAAAAAGTCGATATAGAAATAAAAACCACTGATGGTAAATCCACCTAGAAATTGGAGGACCTTTAGTTCGCGAAGAAATATGATAGTAAATTCATACATTCTTACATCAATAGATTGCAGTATTAAAGGAAATAACTACGCAGTTGCTCACGGATGTAAAATAGTATAAGCCTCACAAGATCTTAACATCTTAAAAGCCTGTGTAACAGTATGCAGATCAGGGGAACAATACCGTGTACACAACGTGAGAACGGGGAAGCCCTGCTATACTAATGCTAAGAGCGTATGGTAAAGGTTTAAATTTGGTATTTAAACAAAAATCCAGCAACAATAGTTAATCTTCTAAGCAAAAAAATGATTTAAATAAAAATTGCATAGCTTTCAAAAATGAGCCTCCTATTATAATAAAAAACGAATAAATAAAGTACAAAAGAAAGAGAAACTTAGTTAAATTCCTTTAAGGTTACAAGTAAAAAGAGTTAAATTTATTACTTTTTAGTAGATTACAAACTCATGAACTATTTCAAAAATACTCTTTTAGAGCAAAATTCCTTTTTCGAAAGATTAAACCTGTTATCTCTGAAACAAAGAGAGAAATTTCTACACTCAGAATTGTTAGTCACCAGTATAAACAACGCGACTTGCAAGCAACCTTAGTGAGGTAAAGCATAAATAATAGTAAGAATGTCTTGTCTTTGTTTATTGTGCTCCTTTTCCTTGAGCCTATTTCCTTTAAAACATACTTCTTTAATGCCCACCTAATTGAAAATGTCAATTTTACACAATTAGTCATAATGCTAAAAAATGTTTTAAACTCAAAAACATCACAATGCAGCACACTTTAACAGAGACAAATAATCATAAGTCACTAGCTCCACAGATGTGATAGATACTGGTGTTTACCGCATTTCGACACTCTCGTTTAAAATTTTGAAAGGCAAAGCAGGCTACGACCCAAGCTTTTATCATAGTCAAATACCAGTAACTAACTGGAGAAAACAATTTTATTATGCTTTTTGTTAATAAAAGAGTAATAATAGGGTATGATAATTACATAGAGAAAGTAGAGAAAGATGCCCGGCGAAAAATGCATATTACTAAACAGTAATGAAAATATGGCTATGAATTAACTATAGATACCTTATACCTAAGAACCAACAAATATTATTATGCAAGCTCCTAATTCCTTCGAAATTCTGACTTACCGATTATTCTTTTATTGTGTAATTTTTGAGACTAACTGGCGGGGGGTTAGTACCTCGTAAGCCGTGGGCATTGATGGTCGTACTAGCTCCCCTGACAACAGTAAATTTCTACAACTGTATGACTTCTAAAAGTATTACCATGTGTACGGTCATTGCTTTATTTGATGGTTTGTTATTTCCAAATAATTTTTTAAGGTGAAAAAATTAATTGAAGACATTTTTCTAAATTTTAAAAATTGCGCTTCTTTTTAAGTAAAACACCAACTTTTGTTGACCAAATTTAATATATCACCCTTTATATTTTAAAGTCTATGACGTAAAACTAATATTTGAAAGAAAAACTGAACAGTTACTAGAAAAAATTAGAAAAGTTAAAGACAGAGTAGCTGCCATAATTTAGTTTTTCTCCTTTCACCAAACATAACAGATAAAGATCTGAATAGTATACTCTTGATCAAAGCAATTTAAGCGGCCTTCATTCGCTGTAGAGTTTGTGCATTAGTTTTTTTTGATTTTAATCGCTCAGGAAGCCTGATATTTACGAAATTTTATTTTTACTTTCGTCCACTACATCCTTTAAAGAATAAAAAAAGTTTGCTCAGAGTTTCTTCTTTATTCTGCTTGACCTCTCACTCAACTAAAGGCTAGCCGTCCCACCAAAAACTGCAAGAGAAACTCGTTTCAAGGGACTTTACGAAATGCCAGTGGCGAGGCGGTATATAAAGCAGCTCGCCCTCTTTTAGGATGCAATCGCGAAAAGGCGCCGTTGGAAACAAAGGAAAGTCCGCTGGAATGGTTAGTATAGAAAAATGCAAATAGAAGATATCACGGAACTACAAACTATTGATATTACGTACCGGCATCGAAAACTTCAAGGTTCACACGACTGGTGTTGCTTAGTAGAGAGTTTGCCTCATACGGGTACATACACAAACTAAACTTTTCGTCATAAATTCGTAAGTACTTAGTACCAACTACCTAATTCTGGTGATTCACCAACGTAGCGGCTCATGCAATACATTATCTGCATACCTGAGCGAACAAGTTATGATATGGATCTTGGTGAAGGGGAGAAACGGTTCCACCAGGGCCAAACCAAGCATTCACCTAAATAGTGGTGACGGGATAATATTAATACACACAAAGAAGTTATGATACTATGGGTTCTCCTTCAGTTTCCCCCGAGTGCGAAAGGTAACAATACTCAGGGATCTGCGAGGTAAGGAAGTTGGTTTCTTTGAAGGAGTCGGCATTATCGTACTTCAATATCCTTCTTAAGTTCGGGAATTTGATCAAACAAAGCATGCTGGGCAAGGTAGCCGATCTATAGTGAAAAATAAAAAAAAAAAGTGAAACAACGTTGCGGTTATATTACTTTGCCGTCGCTTGTTTCTATGAAATTGGCAATGAACTCGGAAATTGTCACGAACTTTTGGGTCCAGTTGTCGTCCGTATACTTATTTCCTACTTCGATGGGCACTAAAGAAGAGAGCAAAAAGGAATGTAAACTATGGATGCGATGAGTGCAAAAACCTGTGCGATGACCTGCAATCGCTTTTAAATATGCCAGACTCCATCTTCGAAAGGACAGTGCTGGCCAATGCTGAATATCATATATACAGTAATTAAACTATGCTTTACAAGGTTACAATGATAATATATAACATAAAAAACTTTTTAACAAAGTTTGAATAGTTAAAATAATACATCAATGCAGTCGAGTAAAATAATTGGCTTCTTTTTATTTAATATTTCATTATAAAAGAAAGACAGAGAAGGACATGAAATTCTCTCAATGGAAGAGAAATTACATAATGACTTTGAAGGGAGAATTTCACGTGACAATTGCTGTATATTTGTAGAATTTTTTTCGAGTGAATTTTTCCCCAAAAACAAGCAGTTCTCAACAGCTGAGTTTTTCTCACATATATTTTCATAAGCATAAGAGATTAAGCTGTTAATCTGAAGACACTAAAGAAACATATAAAATAACAACTAATTAAAGGTTACAAATGTAACTCGAGCAGAAAAAACCGAAGCAGAGAACTCAGGACACCCCATTAATAGAGAGAGGTCGCAAAAGCGCAAGCAATTTTGGTAATCAGAAAGAGCTAAATAGCAAATACCGCAATAAACACTAGAAAAACTTTTAAAAAGTATTTTAGTTTGGTCTACAAACACACTTAAAACTTACGAATAAATCTTTCTGTACTGAAGCAATAAGTTTTTCCAATGCATAGAATACAAAAGTTCGCGAGCTCTATCCACAGCGAAGGAGGCATAACGTAATGCCGTTTGATAGTTTTCGTGTTCAACAAAATGATTTACTTTCTCAAAAAGGTGTGCAAAATCTGGCATTTCCAATAAAACTGAAGCAATTTTATAGATTAAATTTAAAAAGCAGTATAATTTTTAAACTCTAATTGTAGAATTATAGAATAATGCGAGTTTACACTAGTTTAATTAATAAAAAAAACTGAAAACAAAACTTTATTAAACAAAGTAGTTAAAAAAACTGAACACAACGAAGAAAAAGGTAAAGTTTGAAAAAGGTTTAAACTAAAGAAGACGCCTAAACTGTTCACATATGAATAATTTATTTATCTACTTCTTTTAAAACAGTTTGAACTAAGGCAGGGAATAAAGTCCATAACGACTTGGTTCATTTCTCGTTTATCTCGACGCCTTTCGCGTAATATTTTTAACTATGGCGCCCACAGTGGGCAACGAGGTAAAATCCTACTATAGTCCCCGAGGGCGTGGTTAAATACGCAAACCATTAATGCCCGAAAAAGAGGGTAACGTCGGTGGTACTTCAATCCACGACCTTGAGTAACCGCGTCAATGATCTGCTGAACTATGACGACAAGTTTCGATCCCGGTATGATGGCTTACATATTTTACTTATTATAAACAGGGATACAGTCTCCTATTACGTTGCCGGAATAATTCTCATTTCGCCTTCTGCCCTATTAGAAAGTGATTTATATACTCCCTACGCGGAATATAATTTTAATGTTTCCGAAAAGTCCTGGAACAAACCTAGCATGTCAAGTAAAAGTTAAAAGCTCTGTTCGTGCACAAATTCCAAATCCACTGACGAAGGCTTAAGTATAAATTGCCACTGCTATTAACATTAACCGCTATCTCCTTCCTTCATATATCTCCCCTATATGTCCCTAATTAAAGGCAAGCTTAGCACTAATGCACTTTTGGAATGGCAGGTAAATTACGGCTGCATTGGGGTTACATGCGAGCTATCATTCTCATGGTAAATACTGGGGTTTGCATGAATGTATTTAGTGAATAAAGTTTTATTTACTTTACAAATCACCCTTCTGAGGAGGGAAGTAGTGTTATTATAAGGGAATACTAGGATTTTTTAGTGAGTTTAAGATGGCCCTTCTTCAACCCATTTCAGAAGTAATAGTACGAAGGTTAGCTAAATCTCAGTTAGACCCGAGTAAAGGTACTAAAATTTGTTTACTAGTAAACTGACTATCTGGAAGGATTTTAATAAAAATTTAGACACATATATAGTGCTATTTACTTGTAAAATATCATGTTTATGCTCTTATTTACCGAGTTTCTTAAATATTCCGAACGGTGAGATACTTGCCTAGCTAGTAAGGACGGATCTAGATCAGGTTTTTACAATCGATGCTTTCCTTATAAAGTTAAGGTGATTATAATAGGGCGCCAAATGGGTTACGTGATGTACTTAGCCTTTTTATATTTATTAATTTATCCTGGGTCCCTTGCTTTAAATAAAAGGAGTTAAAAAAATTTTTTTCCTTTTTCTTATCATTTTTAGTTGTAGACTCTGTGTTATCTCGCATATATATAAAACTATCGTAAGCTTTCTAAGTGGGTTTTAAGGTCATTTAGTTTTTAAGAGAAGAATTCTCCGCATTTGGAAACTTAATAGTAGGGTAGAGACGAGCTAGCCCCGAAATAAAAATTAATAAAAGGTAAACAATGTCAATCTCCTAGGGCTCAATACTTGGTTTTAATATCAACGCGTAAGCAAATGGGTGCTCGCCAGTAAATTTACATAGTTCGTCGATAGTGTACTTATCTTAAGCGATTCCTGTGTTAGTTACCCTTTTGTAGTAAGAAATAGACAGATAGTAGTTTACTATATCGGAAGCACCAGCAATGTTAGGTAAATCACCGTAATAAAACCTCTTCTCATAATGAATAGTATTAAGGAGTTTAGGAAAGAAGAACCGATCCTAAAAAAGACCGGATCCTTACCTGAACCAGCCAAAGTTTTATTGATTCACTAAAGAAGAAAGCAGAGGTTTAACGAGATGTAAAGCATCGTTATTGTTCTTAATGATTATATAGTTTATAAGAAAAGAGTTTAGAAGGCGCATATATATTCTAGCTCTAATTAATTTTTCTAACCCGAATTTAGGCGAACGGAACTGATTCAATTGCCCATTCATTTCTTTGGGATTTTTGCAACTTGCCTAAAGAAGTCTATATTTCTTAAAAGAAGGAAGACTAGGTTTATTTCTGTGATTAAGTATTAGCTCTAAGGTTTTACTCATAAATGGCCAGGGTCTAATTCCTCCAGAATTAGTCCAGAAAATAAAATTTATATAGCAAACCAAGTCCGTTCGCTTCCTGCGGAATTTTAGAACATGCCTTACTTTTGCAGGACGAGTGATATTTTACTTTTTCACACACTACTATTATTAAAAATGGTGGTTTTTACACAAATAATGATCCTGAAGCGCCTCCTAGTGTCAAGATTGTCTCAAAAGCAAAAATTGAAAACAAAATGATGGTGGGCCACTATTGGAATGAAGGGACTGAGTCGTTCATTTATTTGTAAATTTGGAATTGCATTTAATTCAAAAGTGCACTTAATTAGCTGTATTAAACAAAGATTTATACCGTATATTCGTGACAAAATGACCAATATGTATTCTGGCCCCATTGCCCTGAAGCTCATCCAAGCGAGGATTTTCATCATTGTTGAAGATAAGGGCTCATGCTAGAGGGTGGCGAGCTGCAAACAGAACGGCAGTTAATAACATTGAACGAATACTGCTTGTAAAAAATACAGCTTTATAAGAAACGGTGTAATAGAAGTTCTGTAATTCTTTTATTAGTTACTAGCTATACTGATTGATAAAAAATATTTTAATAGAGTTTTGCTGTCTTAATAATACTTGAATAGGATGTTGAACAGTAGTCCAGATTTTTAATAAACACCCTAGCACACACAAAAAATTGCTTGTGAGATGTTAGGGCTCAATATTTTAATAAAAAACTTTTGGCTTGGTTGGAAATACAACGGCTCAAAGAGTTTAATTGAACCCGTGTCCGGCACCCCAAATAAAAATTAAAAGTAACCAAATTGGATTAATAATCATGGATAATAAACAGAACAAATAATTCTAGTTGAAATGAATCTTAATAAGGTAAGGAGGGGTGTTGAAACTTTAGACCTTGAAATATTAGTTCCTGTTCCTATAAGGCGGGCGTCTATTTTTTGGCGTGGTGGCCTTTCTTGAGTTTACTAAGTCTTTAACTCAAGCACAAGTTTGAAACATCTCAAAGATATATTAGGTATAACCCGCCGTTTTTGAAAATTGAAATTTTTACTCAAAAAAAAATATTAAGGAATCCTTAATTAAAATATTGGCCATCGTTAGAATATGGCAACAAGCAGATGCCCCTTTGAGAAAACGACTCATTTTTTAGAGGGTCCTTTTAGGGACCCACTTTTCGACGATTTCGTAGGGGTCAAATTGTTTTTCAGAAGCGCGTGTGCCATTAACCGAAACAAGTGATAGTCGGAAGGGGCACGGTCTGGTGATTAAATCGCATGGGGTAGCTCTCTCCAGCCATATGTCTCCAGTACTTACCTTAGTGAAGTGATAGAGCATTATCATGAACCAATTACGCTGTCTTGTTTCATGCACTGATCTTTTTTATGCAATACCTGGCTTAAGCGGAATATTTGTCGTTGTAGAGATACCCTGTAACTCTTTGACCAGGTTTCGGTATCTCATAATACATCACACCTTTTTGGCCCCTTGATGATTGTCTTGGATCGCAAATATTTTTCGTCGTTTGGAGTTGGCGAAATAATTTCATTTTTCATCCCAAGTCACCATTCAACGTAAAAATCTTATTCTTTTTAGCCTGGCAAGCAGAATTTTGAAGGTTTTTCTCATCTTTTTCTTTTAGTTTCATGTGGCACACATTTTTCTTCATTACATATCTTTCCCACAGCTTTCAAACGTTTAAAATGACTGCTTGGGTAACTTCCAACGTTTCGACAAGTTAATTTTGCTTGCCTGGAGTCCTTTATCCTGAAATTTTTTTTTCTGCTGGACGTTCTTATACGCTCCTATTAAAATTACCGCTTTTAAAATAGTCGTACTTATCCCCAGCAGTTCTCTCTAATAGAGCAAGTTCTCCATAGACGTCAAAAAGATTCAACAGAAGTTTTTTTTATTATAACTGAAAAGCAAAGGTATGCGCAAATAATGTTTATTTAACTGAAATACAGCCATTTTCTTCATGGTTAAAAAAACTATCTTCTTCTAACAAAACAAATTTGTCATAATATATATTGCTGGGAAATTACTAAATTTTAAAAATGAATCTGCTACATATTAAAGTTGTATATTTACAAAGCTATCACAATTTTTCGCTAGCGGCGGGTTTATAGTTATATACTCAAGAAAAACTTACGGTGAATATGTTGAAATATATACATGTAATGATAAATACGTTTTCTTATATTTTCAATGGCTTTCGGACAGCCACAAAACTTAAAAACTGTTTAGGAACTTTACTCCTGCCAGCAACCGGGAGAGCGAGAACTCAAGGAAATCTTAATTGTGTTTTCTTTTGTGCGAAACTTTACATTACCTGAACAGACTATTGACAAAAGTGTGATCATAACGAGCAATAACAAGACATTGCACTTAACCTAAACGTATTCTAGTTAGATTTCGTTGCGCCTTGAAAAGAAAGTTGAGAACACGAGCATACTTTCAATTTTTTCTCGTACATTCCAGTCTTTCATCCTTCAAATTTCTTTTTTTATAACGTCAAGAAAGTATATATCTATAACTCATTGGTTAGAAAAATGCTTTACAATTTATAATTAGTCTATATCGTGCCTATGATCATTATTAAGTTTACTACTCCCTCTAAAAAACTAAACCTATTACACTCATTTAAACTCATTAGTTCCAAGCACGAGAATTTAATTGGTTTAATTTGGTAAGGACTGGTCTAAATTCGCAAACCGTACAGATTAATTCGTTATAAAAAATTCCCTTTGGCTGGAGGGGTCTTTGAAAATTTATCAGAATTTTTGATTAGGGAATTGGTACATGTAACCACCAGACCAGGAAAATGCGAGTTATCACCGACGGGAATCGGAACTCGCGACCTTGAGATTGCGCGTCTATGCTCTAACTACTGAGCAATGGTGACAACTCGCACCCTAGGTCGATAAATTACGTATACAACTTTTGTTAATGTTAAATAAAATTTATTTCTATTAGGGGAAAGAAGAAACACTTATGGTGAACGTAATAAACAACTGTTCATTATAATTCTTGGTGGTCTCTATTCAATTGTACCATCAAGAATAATTAATTTTTATTTGGCCGTGACTGTAAGCAACATTAGAAGAATTTTGCCACAAATCTTATAGGGCGTAGTCATAGAAGGCTCAAGTTGTTGTAGTGTGATAAAAAATTGACAAAAAACTTATAAACTCAGTACTAAGTTTAACATGTACATTTATTAAAATGTGGGATCTTGGGTTTTCAAAAATGTATTGCTTTGTGCTAATAGATATATCTTCATTGTTGTGGGCTGGAAAAAATTAATTATTTTCTTTCCTCTTTCCATGGGTTTCTAAAGCTATTCTTCAAGATAGGTCTACTAGACAGAAGTTACAACAGGCATGACATCTACAAGAGTGACTATGCGCTTTAACTGTAGCTGCAAGCCGAGCTACTTTTGCTTTGTAATTAAAGCTCTAGCTTAAACAATGATTGTCGCCAAATCTGTATGTCCACCCGTTTACATTTACTAATTTTTTGCGAAAAACACGTACAAAGCCATTAGAACCTTACTCTTAACTGGTAGAATCCCGAGAATTACAAAGTATTTCACAAATTTTTTTTAGGGCCCCACTTCTCTTCTACTCATCAATTTATTTGTACTCATAAGATACAACTATAAAGTGTAGTAGTAATAATATGATAAAATAATAATAATGAAAAGAGGTTGATTTTTTTATTTTTTAAAAAAAATATTCAGTAAAAAACCTAGAGAACCTTTATTGTCTCCTTCGTAGCCTTAAGACATGTTCAGCAAGTAATTTAAACCAGTGCATTATCTTTGGAAGGTTTTACCTTTAGCTTAACTGGATGTGTTACCATACTAGTGTTTGTCGGGCATGGCTATACAAGCTTCCGGTTTTAGTTCTATGTACACACTAAAGAGGGCTTTATACTGACGCCATTATTGATATACTAACAAATTGTACCCGCTCTTTGCTCCTTGCGTCTCTCTAGTTGGGGCCGGCGGAGCCTGGACTGGGCCTTCATCTCTTGTTACGTTAAAAATTTTATCTTGTCTTATCGGTGCGAGGTAACTTAACTCGGGCTAAGCGAGGTGTAGTACTGCGCCTTAACAGAGGCGGATAGTTCCGGACGAAAGTCGGCTGGTACTAGAGTATCTTGACTTAAGTGTCACTAATTCAAAGGCTACCTTAGAGAGCAATCCTAAACATAACTACTGATACTTTATCTTGGTGCTAATACACTTGTATTATATTAGTGCTGAGTGTCATACTATTATACTATTATTGTGTCATTGTGAGATGACGCTCTGTTAGTTAGTCTAATTTAGTTAACTTTTCTTCAATTTTAACACAATTAGCTAATAAGTTTTATTGGCTTGAGAGTACTGCTTTTTCATGTAAGAGCACTGATACGGTAGTGTTTACTAGTATATACTATAATAGCCTAGACCTCGAGCACCTCAACAGCTTTGGAAGAAATATATTCCTCAAAACAACGATATCTAAGTCTTTCATGAAGCCCGTTTCGGTCTTCATTTGTCCCAGGACTCTTCCTCATTCGTCAGCTTAGACCTAAAGGATGTAGCCCTTTGATTTAAAGTTAAAGAGTCGTCTACAAGAAGGGCGTCATAAAGTTTTTTTAAAATTGATTTTACAGGCCGGAAACCCTAAAGAATAAGTATAAAACAATACGCTATATATAATAAGATATACTATGGACTTTAATTTAATATAATTATGATGTCGAAGAACTAAAAAGCACTGTAAAAATTTATTTTATTATTTTGGACTCTAGGAACCCCAAACCAAACCTCAGAAAATAAGAACAGTAAAAAAAACTGTAACAGCGCATGCATAGACTGCATTTATATAAGCATAAGCAGCCCTCAATTCCTAATACTATTAACATAAGAATTAACAAAAAAAGCAGGCGTCTAATTTGGCCAAGTAGATGGTTATGTTAAATGCTTCAATGTTCTATAGAGCTAAAAGTATCGGATAGAGTTGCATTTAACAGGATAGCAACGGCCCCGTCGCTAGTTTGAGGCCAATTCTTGCGGAAAATCGCAAAGTTACGATTTTTAGCAAGTCATTAACACACCTCAAGCTTTGCTACTTTTATCAATTTTAATTCCAAGTATTTTTAAGTATTAAACTATGGAAAAAATTTTAACTCGACAATTTACAAATAACATAACATTAGGAGCTCACGTTCGATGTGCTAGCTATAGCTGTTCTCTTAAATATTCACCTGTTAACAACGAATGAGACGCCAAATGAACTTTTATAGATTTATCTTTAGGTGTCGCTCGATTAGGACAAAGGTGAACCATAGCGGCACACAGTTATTTACTGTTAAAGCGACACTAATTTTAGCTGCCCGTCAGTTCATTTAGGCATTGTAACTATTATCCATACTGCTGCGACAATTAAGTGTAAGGCCGCCTACTCTTCTTAGGTTTGTCGAAATACCTAATGGGTCTTATTTGCCATTGCCACTGATCAATACGTTAGGCCGCTGCTACGCGTTGTTTCTAGGAGGAACTAAAGCTCAAGACAAAGAAAGAGTTAAGTTCTTTATAAGCTCTTGACATGTCTAAGGTCTTCTTAGATGTATTAAAAACCGCTGTCACACCCCCTTACCCCTATTGCTTAACGGCGTAGTTTCGACCTAAAGCGATTATTATTAGGCAACATTCATTGCTGATTACTGCTTTAATAAGTTCGTGCCGCTAACCAGAACTATTACGAAAAGGTACATGCGGCCGAGCTACACCTTCTTTGCTCCACGCTAACGAACCGATCAAAGTCAAACACAGCTTTTGAAATCGCCTAAATTACCTGCAAGTTGTTGCAAGGAAAGGGCGTCTGAAGCAAATACCTCCTCCGCACATTGGTGCACGGCTATTCGTTATAACCTCTCGAAGGGTAAATAAAAAATCTTCTGACCCCTCTAGGGGGCGTTCTACTATTAGGCGTACTGGGAAATCTCTATTTTTAGTGAGCTATACTATCTACTCTAGTGACCAAAGTATAATAAAGATTAACCTGTTCAAAAACTATATATTATATAATTTATTAATTTCACTAGCCCAGCGACGCTACTTAACGTATGAAGAAAGGCCATCCTCAACAAACAACGTGACAGAAGAAAAAGTTCTTTTGAGCCGTGCCACTGGCTAGCTTATATACATAATTCACTATTTAGCCCTTACTAAGTTATATCCACTTACTAACTACAAATCTAACAAGCTTACTAAAGGGAATTTGTTATTAGGCTTCGGCGCTGACTTGTCTTTTGCTTTTATACGGGACTTTTGGTTAACATGGTCGGTGAAGCTGGTTTATTCTTGTTTGCTGCCCTGGTAGCAGTGGTGTCGCTATTTACCATGATATATTTTGTGAGTGTTATTTTTTTTATTACTTTTTATTAAACTCTAGCATAATTCTTGTTACTTATTAACTTTTATAAGGTCCTATCCTCTTTTATATTAAAAGTTCTTAGCTTAAACATGTTTTACATTACATTAAAACACTTTGTTGTATTGGTACTCCATATGGTAGATTATAAAGCTAACGGATTTGGAAGATTATGGGGGGAATTTGTTAAGTGTTTGTGAAACTTTGGATAAGGTTTATTTATTTTATAAGTGTTATATTTATCTAAAACAAAGTCTTAGTTACTTTAACTTCCTATATGGTAAACCTCTCTTTTTTTTTTTACTTTTTTTTTAATTGCTTTAGCTAGTGCTGCCGGAGTACGGCCTGCACGCCTTTTTGACTTTTCTCTTCTTCCTTTATCGTGACTGGTTCCCGTTACTAGCTAATAGCATTCTTGTCGGCTACAATGTGGTAACCTTGCTTAAACTAAGGTTTAATTTTTGCTCTTGCTTTTCTGGAGTTTTGTAATTGAACTTTTGTCAGACAGCAAAACCGAAAGAAACTTTTTAATCCAACTTCCATATTTGGCGAAATTCCTCGCTTAAAGAGTGAATGTTTCGTTAAAATGGCTTTATATATGCTCTCCTTTTTTTACTATATTTATAGGTATTAATATTTTGTTTTTATACACCTTTTTTCTATTATTATTATCTAGAATGGTCTTTGCGTTGGTTGAGTAAGAGGTCTTTTCGGACTATATTATACTTTTATTTAAAGGCGTTAGAGAATTTTTATATAAAAAACTTAAGAAGCTATAATAAAATCGTTGAATGCCTAACTTTTTGCAAGCAGCTTAACCCTTAATTCCAGCGCTCTCTTATTTGTTCTAGAGAAAGGCATTCTGCAAATATAATTGAGTAAATGAAAATTTCGGAAGGCGTAGTTATAAGTTTACAAAGCCATAAGTATCTATTCGATTCTTATAACCGAAATAACTTATGGTGCATTAGATTAGTTAATTCTCTGTTAATACTACCAAGGTTACTTTATTCTGTTTGGTAAACAATTTTGTCTAAATTAAATAATATCTGTAAGTTTTTTTACATCCTGATTCTTGGAGACCTTACGTGGCGAGACTGGTCCTAAATTAAATAACCTTGCATCTTATAACCGAAAGAGGTCATTGCACTGTTAATACGACCTCAAGTACTACGTCACCACCTTTTTCATTAAAATAAATAGTTGGCGCGGGGTCTTCTTAATTTGATTTATTTTGAAAGGACAAGCCAAGCTTTGTTGGTCTTTGCTAGATGATATGAGTTTAAAGAATGTTTTTTAACTATGCTTCACGTTTAGAAAAGATAAGGTTTAAGAATAAATAAAATTTGTAGAATACTATATTAAAGCCCAACCTAAAAGAGGTCGCACTAGAAGAGTGCTTCAGGATGTTTATTTCAATATATTTTGATAAACAAAAATCTTGTTATTAACAGGAGACAACCCGTTCTTCCTAATGTGGTTCATCATTATAATAAAAACCGTCAACTTTGATAAAAATCTTACTGCTACTAGGAAAAAACCTCTAGAAATAAGTGGATGACCAAAGTTAGATGCCCTGAATTTTAATAATTAGAGAAAAAAGATATAAATCGTAAGATAGATGGGTTATAATAAGTAAACTTAAGCTAAAGGGAATATTTACACAAGTTAACGAAGAATAAGTGACACAGACCCCTGAAAAGATGACTTTTTTAATGTATATCAATCTATACTTATTGTACAGGAAGTTAAAAGTAATGCAGTTTAGTTACAAAATTCTGTTATGCACTTAGAGATATAGCCTAGATAGTTTATCAGCAAACCTAATTTATATAGGAAAAATAGATATAAAAAAATTACATATTTCAAATTAATTTTAATCAATGATAAACTGTTCAACGCTAGCATAAATCCCGGATTAATCAAATCTTAACTAACTTTTAGTTTTAACAGTGGCACTCGAAGACCTTTAACCGCTTAATCCCTACTTCCTTCCTCGAGGAAGGTGTGGCACAGGTTCCAACAGCGTGCGCCCCCGAAGGACTGAAAAAAAAAAGAGCACATGCCGCTCGGACTCCCGCCATCCGGTCTAGTGGGAAGGAAAATCAATAAAACCTACCACCGGGAGAGGGGTAGGACTGTATACAGGAACCCGTATGCCACCTAACACCAGCTAGCAAAATGCCGGCGAATCCCCCGACAACGAGCCCCCCCCAACCCGGGGGAGGAGTTGTTCTAGTCCTTTTTTTTTTCTTTCACTAAATTTCAACTCAATTTTAGGTATATATATATAAGGTTTACTAAATCCTTTTCTTTTTTAATATTTTTGGTCTTCCGTATAATTTTGCTTTAACCCTTTTAGTTTATTTTATTTATTAAGTATATTTAATTATAATATTTTATTTGTTTTTTCTTATAAAAAAATCTCAATATAATGAATAGATCACGTTTAGTCGACACTTAAGCTTAACACAGTTATACAGAAATAGTTATTACACTATTCAATCGCATAAAGGGGCCTACTTTCCTTCTGGTTGACGGGCAATGTAGTCACTAAACTAAAACAAGTTCGAGTACCCCTCTTTCGTTTAATTAAATATTTTAGTTGGAGGGATTATCTTGAAGTGTTATGATACTGTCACTGACTATCCCCTCCAAGAAATTCATTCTTTGCATTACTAAAAAACTAATTAACAAGATGTTAGCTTAATATACTTTGTTTTTAATGAGCATCGCGGCAGGTTGGCGGTAGTGCTTGACCCAAAAGAAACGAATGCCCTCACCAGAATAGAGTATTCAGTTTATTTATTATGTTAAACTCTTCTGCTGAGATTTCAAGCTGTCAATCTTCTCTTAATATCGTTTTGTGAGGGGAGCAGAGTGATATTTTTGTTACAAGTTTGAAATAGCGCTAGCTTTTCTTTTTACATTGTGTTGAGTTCAGCCTTGGTCTCTTGAGATAATTATAAGCCTCTCTTTCCTTGACCTTCGGGCACCACATCGGAAAGAGATTTGCTAATCTTAACTTATATTGGGACAGAAAAAGCTTTGAGCGCTGTTTGGCACGCGAAATGTATAATAGAATCCTTTGCTTTGATGGCGACGCTATACTCCTTAAGGAGTTTAGTCCACTCATGAAGACGTTCGCCATACACGTCGTCCATCAGCTTTTTCAGGACCGGCAGTTCCATAATTCCAAGGTATTGAGGTAAGAAAAGAATTGTTAGTCTTCAAATTAATAAAACACTATCACTCAGTGTCTCGAAAATACTCAATACTCAACAATCATTTTTCAAAAAATAATAATATATGCGAACTACTTAGTTCTATTGAAAAAAGTTTCGCTGAGATCCTCCGGAGGGTTTTAAATATTGAGAGGCTGACCTCCTCAATAACAGGGTTTTGAAACCACTTATATACTGGTTTTTGTAGTTTCTTCTTTTCCCTGAGAAATGCAGGACTTTATTTATCTTAGAATGTTCTCGAATATTCTCCAGTGGATTGATGTCACCATGTGACGTTAAGATAGAGGTTGGGAACTTTGTTAGAAATAAATTATTATCGAACAAAATCAGAACAGAAATAACGAAATCAAAGCGGGTGTTTCCACAAACAGAGCCTTACTAAGTCTCAATTCTTCAAGTTGTTTTGTTATATAACATTAAGTTTTATTAAATTGTAAAATTATTTAAAACAGATAATGAGCGTCTTATAGTTAGGAACAAACTAAAAAATTTTAAAATGATAATATTGCGTGTAATCTCGGTTACAAGTCCCACGTTTTAATAATAAAAAAACGATTATATGCTCTATACACATTAGTTTATAGCAAGCGCCTTAAGTTTTTTTGCTATTATTTCAATGGTCATGTTACGCCTGAAAGACTGGAAAAGGGCATGACTGTTATTTGCAAAGAAAAGAACGCAATTTTGTTTAATAGTCTAATTTTCAAGCTCTACTATAGCTAAAGGTATTCGCAATTCAACCCACTACAAAAAACTTTAGTTACCTGGTTAAGAGTAGGTCTTCCTTTAATTGAGATTTCTTCTTTTGATAATGGTTTAGGCCAAGTAATGAGCCTTTAGAAGATGAAGACGATTTTCGCTACTGTTACTTCAAAGTTCTTAAGCCCTGAGAACTAATATATTGTAGGCAATGTCATATCAAATAAGGTAATAACGTATACCGCAGGCTATAAGATATTATAATATAGAGTTATTAGAGACTTAAAAACAATAATTTAATTGATAAATTTACCACTTCCTGGCAACACAAACCACATATTCTTAAAAAAAAAATGAACGTCGCGCGCGAGCCATCATCCACCAGAAGCTGAGGCGTATAACCCTACAAATGACTTTGTAACAGCACAGGATACATGACTAAGTGGTCTTGGATTAACTCTGTTTATTAAATTTTTATGCTTTCTGTTTTCCCAGCTGCGCTTTTGTTACAGTCATGAACTCTGCTCCTAAGACCAATAATTATGAAGTCATAGTTGGTGCGTTATCTCTTAAAATAGTATACCCTGTTGTAATATTTCAATGTCGTTAACGTGAATGCCAAATTTTTTTAATATTAATAATACAGAAAACGTTAAAAATTTTTTAAAAACTTATCAGAATGAAGCTCTTCAAAAAGTTTACTACGAACAAATTGTATAAAACTCTATTTTACCGTGTGCTTACAGATCATCCTTAAAACTAACAATCCAATTATTTATTTATTTCACTTTAAATCCTCTTTAGATAGAGATTGCCACACGTCAGAGAGAAATAATTGTTATTGATCTTGAGGATCTAATTAAAGTACTATCACTGCTTCCTTTATACTTTCCTTACTTTTTCTAAAAATATTTTTATTATTTATTGAAACCTCACACTTTTTTTATTATAACTTAGCTGCTTTGTTTTACACAGGCATGAAATTTTACATCTAAGTGTTATATACATGTGTACTTATATTTATAAAAAGTTTAAAATTCGGTCTATATTTACTTTTAGGATTCTTCTTTGGGTGAACTTTGGGTAAAAAATATGAAAGCGAATGTTTTGCGTTATAGGAATGCTTTTTACGACGCAGTGGATTGTATAATTGAAGAGATGAACATTTCGGAAGTATATACTTTTAGTTATGATACATTCATTTTTATAGTTTTTCCGACTTTTCTGTTGTTAACCTTCTGTTTTACTTTTTAGTTTAATTCTTGGACGAGTAGTTCTTCTGCATTACGTATTACATATGAAACTTTACTTAAATTTAGCTAGTTTGTTATTATATTACAACTATTTTATATTCACTACAAAATTGGGTTGTGGTATCGTAGTTGATCTCAGCTTTTCCTATGTATGAGCTTATTAATTTACTAACAGACATGATGGTACAATATATAGCTGTTTTTCGTAGTAGACCTCCGCACCCCTCCCCCATTCTATTTGCCATAACGGCGCTATTGTATGACACTTATTCACTTTTGAGGAATGAGACGCGTCTCTCCGGGGGGCCACCATGGCTGGCTGTTAACCTGTAAAGATAAGTTCTTTGGAGCTGTGTCAAAGCGTAGCGTAGCGCATTCATTGTACGCCCATTATTCTTGGACAGTATACTTAATGTTTATTAGAGCGTTATGTATAGGGATAAGCCTAAGTTACTTGTATCTCTTTTCGTTTCTTGTCTTTTGTTTGGATTTTTTGCTAGACGGGAAACGCCGTAAGATCCGTGGATGATATGTTTCTTCTTCACCGGCGCCAGTTTGCTGCTGTGCATAACCAAACTTTGTTGCCTTCGTTGATGCGGAGATAGTAAGCATCTGTTCCACTGCTGCGGCGCTTTATTGAAAATAAACTCTACGTGTACAGCGAAGTTGTTGTGAAGGCTCCCCTCTCCCAAAGAGAACTTTCAGTCCGGGAGGTCCGTATTCCAATTGTATGCTATTCGCCAGTACATAGACGCTCTACTGTCAAGCTCCATGGTAACGATATCGGCTCTTTGGTGAAAGTGAAGGCAATGGTTACACGCGTTTCTGAAGTAAAACCGAGGATGACAGTGGCCACTTATATATGCATGCAGTGCAACGGTGAGACCTTTCAGGAGGTTAGGACTTTATTTGGCTCTCCATCAACTCCATTACGAACTCCCCACAACCAAGGTCCTCTCTCCCCAGTTCATGCCACTTTCCACGTGTTTGAACCAGGAGTGCTTGAGAGCAAACAGAAGTGGTGCTAAACTAGTGATGCAAACAAGGGGATCTAAGTTTGTAAAGTTCCAAGAAATTCGTATACAAGAACTGGTATATAGAAGAGCCATATACCCATCCCTTACTTTACGCTATATGTGAGGCCTGCCACGTCCCTGTGGGCCACACGCCGAGAACGTTGAGTCTTCACGCACGCGGGTTCTCCACTAGAAAAACTAACCCTGGCGATGTCGTTGCAATAACTGGTCATTCCTCAATTTGGCGCTGACGCAAAAACGTTACGCCTCTTTAGGATGTTATTTGCCGATCATTGAGTCTGGATTTGCGTCCTTGCGCTCTGGCTTGCTCGCTACCACTTATATCGAGGCCTTTGACATCCTCCCCGACAAAACAATGGATGGGTCCTTCAAGTTATCTGCCTCAGCTCAGCAGGAACTGACCCTCCTTACACGAGGTGTAATATTTGCTATATGTAATCACGTTTACTGAGCAATCTCTACGCATAGAACCTGAAGAAAATTACACGAGGTTGTCGCAGTCTTTAGCACCCGAAATCTTTGGCCTTGAAGACGTTAAAAAGGCTCTTGTCCTTATGCTAGTGGGCGGCGTGGGGAAAGACGATTCTTCTTCTCAGCTGAAAGTCCGAGGAGATATTAACATCTGTCTAATGGGCGATCCGGGAGTTGCCAAATCTCAGCTTTTGAAGTAAACTTCTTTAAGCGTTTACCGCCGTCTTAGTTGTTGGCATGCTCAAAAGGTATCTCTGCGGAGTGGTTCCGCGCGGTATCTACACCACAGGAAAAGGAAGCTCGGGAGTTGGCTTGACGGCTTCTGTTCAGAAGGACCCATTAACCGAGGACCTTGTTTTAGGAACTAATAATCTTATGCTTTACCACCCGTCACCTTCCGTATTTTCGACCCGTTGCAGAGGGGGGCGCTCTGGTGTTAGCTGACAAGGGTGTTTGCGCCATCGACGAATTCGACAAGATGGACGACACGGACAGAACGTCTATCTATGAAGTGATGGAGCAACAAACCATATCAATAGCTAAAGCAGGAATAACCACAACTCTCAATGCCCGTATATTAATAGTTTTTTGGGACTACTTGTATATATTGAGCTCCGTAAACTTTTTAGGCACATCCATACTGGCCGCGGCCAATCCCGTGTTTGGTCGGTACGACCACCAGAAGTCTCTTACTGAAAATATTAATCTTCCGGCCGCCCTGCTGTCAAGGTTTAAGTGGTGCTTTCGACTCCCCTTGTCAATACTCACATTGAGTACAGGTTCGATCTTCTCTTCTTGCTATTGGACCGACCTTCCCTAGAGGATGACATGCGTCTTGCTGAGCACGTGACGCATGTGCACCAGCACAACCGGCATCCTGATATCGGCTTTCCCTTACTTTCCATGGAAGCTATTAGGTGAGCAAGTCATCTCTCTCACCGACAGCGAAGGGGCTAACTGTAGTGCGGTTAGAGCATTTGCCTCTATGGCAAAGTCATTTACGCCCGCTCTGCCGCCAGACGTTTCTGACTATATTGTCGATATGTACGCTGATATGCGCCGCCGCTCTCTTCAGCTGGATGGTTAGTTAGCCTATCGTATATATTGACCCTGTACTTTGTAACTTGTTCTACGTGTCACTGCAGTCACTGAAATAAAAGTCACCCCGAGGACGCTGCTCTCTATTATTCGTCTCTGCACAGCTTTGGTGAAAAAACCTAGTATTTTCTAACGGTTTACGGAAAGTTATAATATTTGTTGCAGGCTCGAGTCCGCCTCTCCACTGAAGTAGAAATTTCGGATGTTGATGAAGCGATTCGGTTGATAAACGCAGCCGGTGTATCATTGAAGGCAGAAAAGCATGACAGATAGTACGTTGTTGCGGGCAGTTAATGAGTTTGTTACATCTCAAACCTCTTAACAGTGAAAGAAGAAAGCACTACAAAGACTACATCTATGCGATTATCCAGTCCATTATAAACGCATCTCCCAATGGCATTATTAGGTGACTTCTTTGACGCTCTGTGCGCCGATTCTTCAGTAAGAATGCGACTTTCCAGCTATGAGCGTGCCAGGCGTTCGGTGCTGAACAGGGGCTACAGCCAGCGTCAGTTCGAAGCGACCATCAATGCATACCAGGAGACAAGCATCTTTATGGTGGACGATGCCCGCACGGTTATCAAGTGTATCAGCTAGACGCCTCCACTTGTAGTTAATAAAAGTAAAGTATGTTTCAAGTACAGCTATTTTACATTAGCAAGAGAGATAAGAGGAGCTGTGAGCATTATGCAGACCAGCAGCCTCCAAGGTGCGCGGTAAAGTAAAGGTCCTTGTAAGTCTAGAGGCTAATCACGTTCGGAATATTGGAAAAATACTTGTAGTGTATCATGAGAATGTCTTTATAGTTCAACGTAAAAGAAAGAAATTTTATTAAAGCATCTTTTCCCCCCTATTAATTTAAAGACGAGATCGTCGATTCAGTTAGCTTTAAAGCCACGAAGAGGTAAAATCTACGAGCTTTTCGTAAATTTATATGTCAATGATACTTTAAACTGAAAATTTACTTCATCTCTCCTTTTCTTAATAAATCTCATCAAAAAAAAACTACTTTTGTTCTTAGACGGGTAATCCTCCGCTGTGGTTATTAAGATTAGCAGAATATAATTTATAATAACAATAGCGCCAAAAATAAGTTGGCTAAGAAAAACGAAATAAACGAAAACAAAGCGTTGAACTTTGATAGTTATGAAGTTTTATACACCGTTTAAAGCATCAAAGGTATGGAATTTGCTAGTAGGCAGCCTGTTGTCAAAAGTCTGCAAGGATATGACCAAAGCGAAAGGAACAGCCAGCGAACAGACTACAAAGTAGGCAAAGACTTCAGAGTTGGTGTAGTGACGATTGATACTAAAATACTTCCAAGCGGAATACTGGTGCCATAAAGTCGTTCCTTCATAGTAAAGTGTGAGTAAAGAATCAGAAAAGAAGGTATCGCTATTACACTATATAAACTGTAAAAACAAGCTGGACAGAATATTTATGCCCACCTTATTAAAAAAATATTTGTACTTGCAAAATTATAAAATTCCTGAATACGACTCGGTTTAATAAGATCAAGTTGTAACAAATATTTATTGAAAAATACTAAATTCCACTATTTCAAATAATTTGGCTTACATTGTTAACAGTAGCTTTTTATTACGTAAAAAAAAAGGTTTATTATAAGCGTTAAAAGCGATGCATTACCTATACTTAACAAAAAGGAAAAAGATCGAAATCTTATAAAAGGAAAATTTCTTATCAACAGAAAGTAAGCGATGTTGGCAGAAAAACTGGACACGACGAGATTAAGAAGCGGAAATCCTTCTAGCACCCATAACCCTACATTATTTATAACTGAAACCTATAAGCAACATAAAGAGGTAAAAGTTTAAGAATGTGTAAACGCAATATCGGTTGGATTACAAGTATAAGTATCTCAATAAAACGTTTTGTTGTCTCTGGATATTCTTCGGAAAACTCAGCTAAGTAAAGTAAGGTACAACCTAAAAGCAGAAACTTATATATAACATCAAGCTAATTTAAGTAGCAAAAATTTTTAAGAGAACAACTAAGTTGAGACTTAATATAAAATGTTATTAAGTTATATATAAGTAACTCCTATAATGATTAGGCATACAGATACCTACAGCGATTAATAAAGCTCCAGTCAAGTACACTGTGTAAAAGGCATATAGTACAGACAAAAACATATTACTTTCGATACTTCGATAAAAACTCAATCGTTTCCTACTGTTAGAAAAGTGTGCTAGTGAAATATCAGTGCAATCTATATTTTTAGCCGCAGCTGTACAGTTACATAGTGTTAAAAAGATGGTTATGCGCGTAAGGATAGGAAAAGCCCTTAACTCAAACGTATAGTGAAGATTTTAAGCACCTTATCAATTAAACCAAGGGGATATGTCCAAAATTAGTAAAACGTTTAAAAAATCAGTAGAAACTGTTGACGTACACGTAGAATCGTGTAAAGACACTGAGACAAGATAAAGGAATAACTATTACTTATAGTTTACAGGTTATCTGTATACTTGCTGTAACTTTACAATTTCAGCTTTTTTATTATAATAAGTTATTTATATTCTGTAGTTTAAACATTGAATCACGTAATTGTGGCGTTATATACTGTCTCTTTAGGTGTTTATTTATTGTAGAATTAATTTCACAACTTAGAAATTAAAAAAAAGTCGAATTTTATTATAGAAGCCTTCAAGTATTTTAAAAACTGTGGGTGAAAGGAATTGATTCAAACATATAAAATACATATCTAGTAAGAATAAGGTGCTTGCGAATTATCGCCAAGACCCGTTGACGTTAGTTTGGGCCTGAAATCAAGTAAAATTTAGCTTTATTAATGTAAGTAAAAATAAGTATGTCTTTATTAAGCGAAAGCACGAGAATCGATATCATGTAGGGAGAAAAAAAAATAATAATAATTAGGTGAGTGCTTGCACCGTAGGCCCTTATTCGAGGAATTCGTTAAGTATGAATTATGCTACTTTTCGAAGCATTTAGTTGTCGATAAAGAAAAATAACTCTCATATTAATCTTGGATAGATACTTATTCTTACTATGTGTATCGGTTTTCTCCTCCTAAAAGTTATAGAGGGGCGTTAAAAATATCTTTAAATGTTTAAGCGGATGGTCTTTAAGAATATAACAGTTGACAAAAAAAATTCTATTATTGAAAGGTATCTCTCTTTTTCTGGGCGAAAAAGGTGTTAAAGCTCGCTTTGTAAAAACGAATTATCCCCAAAGTAATAAATGCTGAATAGGGTTCAATAAAATTCTTTTTCAAAATGCATGCGCTAACTAGTACTTCAAGTAACTTACAATTTTAAAGAACTACTTCTATTAGTATTACAGAAAACCCAGTGTTCTGAACTTGGGCTCATGTTTATGGTTTTGGAATGAAGCTAGAGTATGAGTTATTTACAAGTCAAGTACGCTAAAACTTTTTAGTAAAAATAAGAAAGATTCAAAGTTATGTGCTGAGCTAAGAAAAGATCATATTACTTTAGAAAAATTGGAACCCTAAAAGAGAATATGGCTAGATAGGTAGGCACACTTGGAAAATATTATAAAGTTGTACTAAGGTAAAAAAACGGTTCGAGTTACTCGGTGAGGATCGGGAGGGTTCCGTCATGATTGTTATGGTCTTAAAAATGAGTTGTAACACTTGTAATATGGCGGCTAATCTGAACAATACTGAAACTAACTGAAAAGTACTGTCACTAATGATATAAAATTTTGGAAGGCTCTGGAACGGTTAAAAAACAAGCTGTATGTGTGAATTCTATCTGACAGTCACAAGCTAAACACGGAGGCCAAACGTGACTAATAAAAGAAAGAAACTGGGTAGGCAAAGTTGCTCCACGTTGGGCGACTTTATAAATTTCAAAAGAAGGAAGTAGAACGGAAAGCATTTCAAAACTTCTTTGCTAGATAATTTAAATATTCACGATAAATTTTTGAATGTTTGGGTTAATTAGTAACATGTGCTTGAGTAAAGGAGATACATAGAGTTCTGCAAAAGTTCAACAAGGAATATCAGTTTGTGCCTTAGTTTGCTTGAAGTTTATGTAGGGTAAGGTAGTCTACTACTCGATTGCATTTAGTATGTCGATAATTCAGCGGTTAAAAGCATTAACGCGCATACTTAGGTAACAGCAGTCGATTAGGGGATAAATGGCATGTCTGACAAAGTATGATCATCTTTCTGGCGCTTTGCTAAGCGATTTAGACCGCTTACAAACCACCTCTGCCACTTAAAGTGGTGCATTGGACCTTAGTAATATCTTGACTCATTTAAGGTGATGGAATAAGATCCCTGCGGTTCACCTCAACTCCTTTGTAAATGCCGCCCAATTAAATTGTTCTCAACAGTTAATACTGTGGTATTGTGCTTTTAGCGCCTAGGGGTGTTAAAGAAAAGAAGCGCGGTGTTGCGTAGAAACGCCAGTATAGCTTTAAAACAGCCACTAAGACACAGTAAGTGTGCACTTTTATTTTTCTCCGTTAGCTTGCTTCCTTTTTTTTTTTAGCCTTATTCATTTTTACCTGTGTTTTTTTTTTGTAATTTGATATGGGTGACTTTTCTTCCTTCAGGTAACGAATGAGATGAAAAGTAAAATAAACAGTTCCCCTTCTTCCTTGACTATTAGAAAATTATAATGAAAAACCGTTTTTAAGAGCTAGACAGAAACTTGTGTGAACTACAACAACGAAAGACCCTATGGCGTTTTGTTGAATGGATCCTCAACTTTGATTATAAGAAACCTTAGCAGTCTCCTTTTTAAAGTAAAGAAGGCCGAGTATGAGGCAGCACAACTAACGTGTAAAACAAGCTTAAAAATATTTGTACTACGTATTACGGTATACTCTTTGCTTGCTTGGTCACAGTTGCCTTTTAAATGGTGGCAACCAGTACAAAGAGACGAACTGCTGGAGACGCTCTGCTTGGTGATCTTTCATATATTTCGCAGTCTTGAAATTAAGCGCGGTTACGCCTGCCTATACCCTGGTAGAAACTACCTTTTGTTTTGAAGAAATCGAATGTTATTATCTTTTTTGAAATGCGCTTCAAGTACATATGTTTGTAATATTCGTTAAACCTTTTTGCACACTGGATTTTGAATTGATCTTCTGTGTACATATAAATCTTTATTATTGCTAAGATTAAGGAGCCTGTTTACAAAAAATCAAACATATGCAAAAGTCAACTGCCCTAAGTGAAAAATTTTGCCTTATTATGGGGGTTAATAAACCCTTTTAAGCGTAAAGCCATGAAGTTTGCATCTCGTAACTTAAACTTTTTTTTTTGTGGTACATTAGAGTAAAAATCAAACATACAGAATTTTTAACTATTAAATACAAGTGTACACAAATTTTTTCTATATTACTATATTTACGTAGTGGCAACTACTAGTAATGTAACACCGGTTTGCCGGCGCACCAAGCGTAATTTTTGTTATTTTATTTTAAATAAATATGTTTTGGCATTTCTACCTATATATTTTTTAATATTGTTTTATAAGGTTTACTTGACATTTACCACCACTTAAAATATTGAAATAATACAAATTACCTTAGCTTTGTTAGGAACCCGATGTTACCTTTTGAGTCCTACATTTTGATGCTACAATTCTAGGGTTAAGGACGCGTTCCCCTAGAGCAAAATTTCATAGTTTTTACTTTTTCATAAAAGAATCGCAATTTTTAAAAGCTTATAGCGCTTTTCCATCCATATTCTTGTCATAATTAAAAGATATAAATTATTGTTTTTTATTTAATTTTATTATCTAATTTTAGCTTAATTTATACTCATTGTAAAAAATAAGCATACATTTAGTCAATTAAAATTCTTGCCATGCACAACAGCAAAATTAGAGTATAATTATTGTTTATATATTTATTTATAAATGACTTTCTACTACTGCTCTATTGGGTCAACAAACTTCGAATATACTTCGGTTTATTGGTAAAAAAGTCGCACTTTCTTACATCGAGGGAGAGAGCAGTACTCGTTATCTCCTGTGATAATTCACCGAAGTACAATCCACGCTACTGGTGATTTGACTGCTCAGGTCGCACGAGAAAAAGCATTTTTCGACTTCAAATCCTTCTGTTAACAGTCTACTACTTTTGTATCCCATTTTTCTAAGCTTGAGACCTCATGTGGAACAGTACACCTTAAAAGTACAATAGCGCTAAGTGCAGTTTAAGAACTAAATTTTTTTTTTCTGACCCTCTTCTTAGGCCTTCCTGACCTGTTTTAGTGTACTTTAGTTTTGCTATATGTAATTTTAGCATTGACTAGTGCGCTCTCGAAAGCAAAGTATATCTTGTAATTAATATCTTAAAGTAAAAGGAAAAAACGGACTTCATTTGTATTACAGTAAGAGTACGCTTTTACATCTGTGGCGAACCCAAATCATTGGATTTTAAAGGAAACAGTAATTCAATGTAATAAGTGCTGTGTAACATACATTAATTCAAATTTTCACAACTTGGACAAAAAACCTTTAATCTTCAGTTTGTGCGTTTCTTTAAGAGGCATGTATTAATAAATGTGTTTAATTTCCCCCTAAGTCAAAAAAAGGACGCCCACCACAACGGGTAGGAAATCATTAAGTTGACTTAATGCCCAAACAATTTGGATAATAAAAGTGAACAAGTTAATAAAGACAATTTTTTTAAAAAACTTTTAAGAATATCTAAGAATAACTATTGAAATAAATATATCCCGCTATATATAATTTTTATAATATTCCACATATTAAAAAAAAAAATTAAATATCCACTGCAAAGTAAGTATACTGATTAGTGTGCATATGCTATGGCCAAAATGATCGAATGCATTAAAATTTTCAAAACTTAAATCTTAACAAGAAACTATCTTCGCTGATCCAAAGTGTTTAATTTAGTGGCTAACGAAATAAAAAAATGCTATTGCAGGGTTAAAATTTTATATAAAATTTCGTCATCAATTATAATAAATTAACCTCAGTCTAAGAAAACGTAAAATAATTATCCTGGGTTTCGTTACAGTTGCAGGTTGGAACAACATATAGAGCGATTACCTCAAAACCTAAACTAATCTATGCAGGGGACGAGTTGTGTAAAGGGGCAGGCAAAATTATTATGTTCCTACCTTGGGTATACATAATTGTACACTTTTTAGAGCCACTACCTGTGGTAGCTCCATTCTAGGGATAACAGCCCTGCATATACTACGTACATCTTAAAAATGCAACGGGTCTCATATTAGTTGACAATTAGGGGCCTTTAAAATTTTTAACCTACCAAACATTAGTT